AGGTGTCATATGGCCCTCAATCTGTAGGTGTCATATGGCCCTCAATCTGTAGGTGTCATATGGCCCTCAATCTGTAGGTGTCATATGGCCCTCAATCTGTAGGTGTCATATGGCCCTCAATCTGTAGATGGTTCAATGGCCCTAAATCTGTAGATATTTGTATGGCCCTAAATCTGTCGATGCTAGTATGGCTCTGAATCTGTCGATGTCGTATGGCCCTGAATTGGTAGATGCTTGCATGGCCGTTAATTTGTAGATTGTTGTATGGCCCTCAATTCTTAGATGGTTGCATGGCCCTCAATTTGTAGATATTCATATGGCTCTGAATTTGAAGATGTTCGTATGGCCCTTGTGTTGTCGATGTCGTATAGCCCTGAATTTGTGGATCTTCGCGCTGGCCCTGAGGGTATTCCGCTTGGGTACCAATGCAGAACCATCTCTATGTCAGCTAATTCATGCCAAAAAAGAAGAAAGAATAATTCGGAGCCTGCCTGGTGGGTCGTCTCCCATCTAAACTCACATATCCCAATCGTTCCTAGATGAACATGAATGGACTACTGAAGAGGAACCTTTCTGGGACCATCCAGTGCTGCTCATGACACCCTACTCATATACTTTGATATCAATAAATCATAATTTTAGCTAATCCAGGTGAGCCTGGTGAGTTAAAATTATTTCAGGTCTTTTATAATACATATTAATATAAGTTTTATATCAATAAATCGAGCTTTAATCATCAATCTTTTTTTTCGCGTATAGAGAAGTAAATTGAATTCAGATAAAAAAAAATTAATTTAAATCGACATTGATAAAATTAAATCCAGGTACCATTTATTTTGACAATGATATTAACCCAAATAATCCTTTTTCATCAAGTACCTTTGTTATATTTGGCTATTCCGCAAGTGTTAACAAAGTACTGAAGTTATAGTCGCCATTAATTCTTTTTTACAAACAATGAGATGATTTTTTCCATTTCAGAATTCTTCAATGAATATCAAATCTGTTCCTTTGTACTCCTCAGTAGGCTATATGTATTCCAAATCTGACGCTGGGGTAGAGAAGTAATTTGAATTTAAACAGTCAATTTAAATCAATTCATCATAGATATCCTTGTACCATTCGCAATAACAATGCTATTCACTTGATGAATTATTTCATTAAGTATCCTTGCCATATTTTTATAAACATGACGATCACCTTGAGGAAGTCTAATTATTAAAAAATTATTAAAAAATACCTGATTATAAATTAAGCAGAAGCAAACCACAAAATACAGTTTGAGATAAACACCAGGCCTCAGATCTTCCGATTCTCTAGTATTACTCTCAAATAAATCATAAATAGAATCTCTTCTGATTCATACTGAATGTCATCAGATTAGAACATAACTTAATCAGCCTTTCACTCTAGTATCTAGTAGATGACGTCGATAACTTTGTTGGGGCCTTCACGGGACATGGGGGTATTACTATTTCATCACTGGTTTCTTCCGAACCCCAGAGAAGCTCTATCCACCTTTATACACTTTGGCTAGAGGACACGTGATAAAAAGCCCTGAAACTCGAGAAATATTCCATGAGTGTTTATAGTGAATCTGACGGAACTCATAATAACAATAGTGCATACAGTTGTGTATGCGCTTACAGGGATCATCAGTTTGAAGCCTCAGTGTCAAGCCTCAGTGTCAAGCCTCAGTGTCAAGCCTCAGTGTCAAGCCTCAGTGTCAAGCCTCAGTGTCAAGCTGATACCTGGGACCTTACACTATATTAGTGCTGATATAAAGAGTAGTGTAGATAGATTACGCTAGGTCTAAATTTTGTTGATAAACAGCTATTATGAATTATAGAGATAATGGGAGACTGGCGCCCGATTTTATGGGGCGGGAATGAAATATATAGAAGATACGTGTTATGGACTTCACGGGACATAGGGTTTATGTATTACTATTTGATCACTGGATTCTCTAGAATTCTACAGGAGTTCTACTCCACCTTTATTCACTTTATCCAGAAGTCACGTGAACCGAATCCTCAGGACTCGAGAGAATAATCTTTGAGTTGTCCAAAATGATATCTGACGAAACTCACAGTAATGAAAGTGCATATAGTCATGTATTCAAGCTGATATTAGGGACCTACCATACGCTCTTTCATTCATAATCTGAATATACCCATCCATATAATAAGATGATATGTTGATAATTGGTATATTCCGATAATGCATAATTTTATGAGATTTTTTTTTAAAAAAAAGATAAAAAGACGAAAGGTTGTCAATTTGGAACAAGAAAATGTAACGGAAAAGCAAGTGGAAAGAAACACCTGAGCAGCTTGTAAAAACCATCACGGAAAAACAATAAAAGCGAGTGAAAGTATAAAATGAATTGAAACTAATACTAAGAATAAAGTAAAAACCAACTATGAAGATAAGAAAGCACAAGCAAGAGTAAACCACCCAAAGGGAAATATAAGAAATAGTTAACAGAGGGTACCTACAGTATAGCGGACCTTTTATACAATGAGCCAGTGACTATTAGGGGATTTTATTTTGGTAGATTCATCTGATTAAAGGGGCAGAACGATATCAGCAATTTATATGAAAAACCTTTAAACAGCTCCCAGCTACGTACCAAGTGTCTTAGCTCGGCTTGTCCCCTTCCGTTAGTCACGGCCTGGACGGTCCTCATGGCCCGTATCTGTTTACGCATTGGATACTACGTCATCGACTCCTGGGATAAGAAGAAGTCAAATTGAAAAAGAAGGAGCCAGAGTCAGTCCGAAAGCAGACGATCGAATCGTCTGAAGTGTTGAATATATACGAGATGTAAATAATCAATGACTGTAAGGTCCCCGGTATCAGCTTGACACTGATGAAGCCTGTAAGCGCATATATGACTATATGCACGTCTATTATTATGAGTTCCGTCAGATATCACTTTGAACATCTCATAGCATATTCTCTCGAGTTTCAGGGCTTCCTTTCACGTGTCCTCTAGGTGAAGTATATAGCGGTGGATAGAATTTCAAGGGAGTTTCGAAGAAACCAGTGATCAAAAAGTTGTACATCACTCCTATGGCCCGTGAAGTCTCTAACAATGACTGAATAATTAGGTTCTTAAGACTGCTCCTCATTAGTTGACCATACGTAATAGTCTAGACGATTCAGATTACACATGAACTATGATAGAGAAACCCTCAAGGGAGACCAGAAGAAAAAAAACTTCTCCTAAAAACTTCTCCTAAAAACTTCTTCTAAAAACCTCTAGATTAGCTATACCATAGAGATGGCCCGCACCATATGCAGTACCATCATGAACATCGCATCTCGCGCAGCGCTTTCCGGCCCGGGCCGCTAGTCTGGGGCATATACCAAAGACGCCGAGCCGCTCGAAAGCTCGGATTCAGACCTTTGAAAAAACTCCGGGCCTGTTTGCACACTGTCGCTGCGTTTTCTGTTTTTCTTTTTTTTCGACTTTGCCCCGCCGAGCCAGAATTCGCGTCTGCATACGGCTCCCGGTCTGTCCATCGGCCGCACATCGCTTTATACCTCCGCCAGACGGGCTGGAATAGCACGTCTAAGCCAGCCGTTCACACTGCCCGGCTTTCTGCAACCACAAACGGGAAGGTGACCGAAAGAAAGGAGAAAAACACCGAAAGAAGAAAGAGGAGGCGACAGGTATAGGAATAGGCCACAGGTATAGGAATAGGCCACAGAAGTAACGACAAGGCACCAGAAGAAAGGCGACAGGAAAAGAAAGGCGACTGAAAAAAAAAGGCGACAGAAGTCAAGAGTCCCATACAGAAGTAAAGCCGCAGATTCAAGAGAATTCGCCAGAAACAAAGGCGCCACAAACACAGGCGCCAGATTCAAAACCAAGACTACGCCCGGACCACACCTCGCCGCCATGGACCGAGACTTCACGTTGGAAAGGCACCTCTTGGCCCGCAGCTTCGCCACGCCCGCGGAAATCCAGCACATCCTCGACGCCAGGTACAAAGGCACGGACGCAGGCGACGCCTATCTCGTGCTTCTACCCACCGCCAGGCCGGAGGGCGCCAAGCAAACCGCCACGCGCGTGCTGTTGGACAGGAACGTCGAAGCCAAGCCCTGTGCAACACGCAAGCACAATGCCCGTCAGCAGATGAAGGCGTACATCAAGCGCACACTCGCCGCACAGAGGCGGCTTGTCGCCAAGGTGCAGCAGGCCCGGCGCACGCTGCTGCCCATCGACGTGGACCGGCACATCGCCCAGTACGGCATCCCGCGGTTCGACGCGTACGTGCACTTGCACGGGCTCTGGCAAAAGTACATCCAGGACCTTCTCTTCGCGGACCAGAAGAACCCGAACATGAACATGGTGATGCCGCGCTTGGCCACGGCGGACTTCAACGGGTGCTGGCTCCGCGTGGTGGATGCCCGTGACCGCAACTTGGTGGGGGCCCAGGGCATTGTTCTCTACGACTCGCAGCACTCGTTCATGGTGGTGGCGCCGCCCGCCACGGCGTCGACGCGCACGGTGTCGCCGGCCCAGCGGGTGGGCGGCTTGAGGGTGCTTTCCAAGCGGGGCACCATGTTTGCGTTTGACGTGGACGTGAGCGCCACGGAGTCCGTGGCCTTTACGATTCTCGGCTCGCGCTTCGAGCTCCGTGCCGTTGACAGGGCGTCCAAGAAGTTCAAGAGCCACGGCGTGGAGGACATTTATTAGTGTGGCGCGGCCACACTTGTTTGGGTTTTTCTGAGTGCATCGATGGTTCCGCCTCCAGAGGCAGATCGAAGCCTTAGCCAGTTGCGACCAACTTCATCTATAATATATAGAACAGGGATGATGATGAGGCAGATTGAAGCCTTAGGCCAATAACGACCATTCCACTTCACTAATAATATATAAACCAGGGACGTCTTTTGTTCTATCCCGTGGCATGTCCTATGATGAGGCATTTTATCGAAACCTTTGGCCAGTTGCGACCATGTTACTTCATCTATAATTTATGAAACGGCGATGGCATACTTCTATGATGAGACAAATCGAAACCTTATGCCAGTTGCGACCATGCTACTTCATCTATAATAGCAGGATGGCATACTTCTATGATGATGCAATCGAAGCCTTAGCCAGGTGCGACCATGTTACTTCATCTATAATAACAGGGACGTCATACTTTTATGATGAGGCAATCAAAGCCTTAGCCATTTGGGGCCAGGTTGCTTTATCTATAATAGCAGGATGGCATACTTCTATGATGAGGCAATCGAATCCTTAGCCAGGTGCGACCATGTTACTTCATCTATAATTTATGGAACGGCGATGGCATACTTCTATGATGAGGCAATCGAAGCCTTAGCCAGTTGCGACCATGCTACGTCATCTAAAATATATAAAACAGGGATAATGATGAGACAAATCGGACCTTAAGCCAATAACGACCATGCTACTTCATCTATAATATATATAACAGGGATAGCATACTTCTATGATGAGGCAATCGAAGCCTTAGCCAGTTGCAACCATGCTTATTGTCTATAATATATAAAACAGGGATGATGATGAGACAAACCGAAACCTCAGGCCAATGACGACCATGCTGCTTCATGTATAATATATAAAACAGGGATGATGATGAGGCAATCGAAACCTTAGGCCAATAACGACCATGCTACTTCATCTATATTATATGACGCAGTGACGTCTCTTTATCTGTCCAGTGACATACTACCATGACGACAGAAACCACCAGATATACCCCTCCACATAGATCAAAAAGACACGCATGAATATCCAGCCCCCCGGAATGTTCACTTTACTAATTTACTCTACAATCATTTACACACTTGGGTCTTTCAAACCAGCCATCAGTGCGGCGGACAAGTACGGGTATTTGGACACATGCTGCTTATAGCTATGAAAAACGCCCCGCTACTACATGCTCCTGCCGACAGGCGGCATACATCGCTATGGCACAGCACGGGCACAGTCACGAGCCTGTGCCGTGGCGTGCCTGGTGCATGGTCCCTAGCGAATACGTGTGTTTGAATGCCGATGGAGTGCAAGCTCATAGAATACGTATGTTTGAATGCCGATGGAGTGCAAGCGCGTAAAACACATTTGAATGACGTACAATCTCTCAGTAACAGGCCGGTGCAATCGGGTACTGGGCGCAGATCAAATGCGCCATGCTCCCGACCCTTTCAACCACAGACGAGCGTGGTAACCGCCAGCAGTGGCATGTCCAAGAAAGGCAGCTGCATCAGTGCTGGTACTCCAGAGGAATCACTACACCAGTACTGGTATTCAAAGAGGATCCCACCATTCCGGGATTCGAGATGGATTCCGCAACAAGAGGATCACTCGGCGACGGGAACAAACACCACTTTGAAAAGACTGCCCCAATTCCAGCCGTGCACCAGGAGAACCCCAAAAGCGAGGTACCGGCACACGAGCATGCAACCTGCCGTCCTGAGTCTTTCGGTTTCCCAGTTTGGCCACATCAAACAGCTGGCAGGTCGGCCACATCAAACACATGCAGGCCCAGACCGGTCCCTACGTCTGGGCCCACGCGTCCAAGTGCGCCACGTCCTCCGGAGCCACCTCGTCGTTGATCACCGCGTAGTGGTCAAAAAGATCGAAGTGGTGGGTCTCGTTCAAGTGGTCCACAAAGCTCTTCTGGACATCGTTGAGCAAGCTGGGGTCATTGTACTGGCGGCCGTAGCCCGCCTCGAGCACGCTCTGCCACGTGGCCTTGTACACGTCGAAAGAGCCCTCGACCAACTCGATCTTGTCGTCGAAAACGAGCACCTCGCACAACGCGCGGATGTCGCTGGTGCCCAAGTCGATGTTGGTGATCTTGTGCGAGATGATGAAGTCCATGATGGCATCCAAGTTGGCAAAGCCCGCGTGGTGTGCCGGGTACACGCTCAGGAAAATGTTGGTGTTGGGCGTCGGCTCCTGGAACGCGGTGGGGAAGGTCTTCAGCGAGATGAAGCGCCAGATCACCGTCAAAAGCGAGTCGATGAACTCCGTGTCAAGCTCGCTGTCCGTGAACCACGGCCCTCCCGTGACGTCGATGGACGGCTGGAGATTGTAGAGCATGTAGATCTTGCGCGTCGGGTGCTTGACGGACTTGATCAGCTTGATGTACCGCTGCAGCTCCAACAGCTTCAAGCAGCGCATGACGATGTGCTGGTGCATGTTGGTTTTGGCCTTGAGCGTCTTGGTCCAGATGCCCTCTCTGCCCGAGGCCTCGATGTGCGAGTAGATCATCTGCTCGTCGTCGTTCATGGACGTGAGCTTCTTTGTTTCCAGGAGCGAGATGGCCTGGAAGCGCAACTCGTCGCCGACCTTGACCAACTTCATCATCTTGCGGTCGATGAGGCTCTGGGTCAAGCCCAAGAGCTTGACCAAATCGGGCTCGTTGATGATCTGCTTGAGCTCGTCTTGCGTGAACATCTTGGAAGGCGGCGACTCGCACATGCGCAGGTACATGAGGTCTGCTTTGCTGGTGTCGGCCATGGTGGGGGTTTTAATATGCTATGGCTTCGAGGGGAGGGAGAAGGAGCCGAGGAATGTCCGGCGGTCCTTGACGACTGGGTGTTTCGGATGGTGCCGTATAGCTGAGAAAGCTGGCTGTAGTTCTTGGGGCTCCGAGGTTGAGAGTCAGTGCGTCCGTATGGTGTGGCTCAAGAAGATGAACCGGTGCCAGGCAGAGGTGTGGAATCCAGAGATGTTTTGAGGATCCAGAGATCTTGTGTTTGTTTCAAGTACTTTGTTTGTTTCAAGTACTTTGTTTGGTCCAGGCACTTTTGTATGATCCAGATACTTTGTATGATCCAGATACTTTGTATGATCCAGGTACTTTGTATGATCCAGGTACTTTGTATGATCCAGGTACTTTGTATGATCCAGGTACTTGTATGAT